CTGCCACTGCCACTGCTGCTGCTACTGCTACTGCTACTGCCACTGCGACTGCCACCGCCACCGCCACCGCCACCGCCACTGCCAATGCCACTGCCACTGCCACTGCCACTGCCACTGCCACTGCTACTGCTACTTACTGCTGCTGCTTTTGCTGCACTGCTACTGCCTATTTTGTCTACTTCTGCAAGAATTCCTGCCTAGTACAAGTTGCACTAGTCTTGGAATACACAGCTCCCGCTGTGACCGGGACTCTGTCGTCGGAAAATCGTCTTGGGCCCCTCGGAGCGAAGAAATGCTCCCAGCACGTCGACACCTCCTTTCTGATCACCTCAGCAGTCTACAAAGGGAGGCTCACAGTTCTGTCACAATGCTCCTGTCCAAGCCACAGGACCCAGCAGAGTGTCTCGAACCACTTGCGCAGCGTTCCGGATGTCGGAAGCGCTTCTCCGGAAGTCTTCCAGCAGATCCAAGGCCTGGACTGTGAGTTGGCTCCCTCCCTGTGTTTGCAATCCACCACTATCCCATAATTAGTGCCGGCGAGGACCCCCAAAAAACCCTGCAGCCAAATCCAAGCATTTCCTAGGGTTTTTTGGACTCTACCAAAAAACCCGACAACGACGATGGAAATTCAAAAACCTCAAGAAAATACGAACCCAGTTTGAAGTTTGCGTCGTTATGCTCCGAACCACCGATGTTCTGACACAGGTTTGGGTGGATTTGTGAGTTTCTGTTAACAGCACAGTCATCGGTATTTACAATGGTTTCTGTGTGTTTACATCTCGAAGAAAGACGGAGCTGGATCATGGGGGTATACATGTATACATATATATATGTATATACATATGTATATATATCTATATATACATACATACCTACACACACTAACTTACATGTATTCATGCATTATACATATTCATATACATATATATGTACACACAAGTGTATAACATATATATATATACACACATACATATACACAGACATCTGTCTATCTATCTATCTATCTATCTATCTATCTATATCACATACATAAAACTAAGAAAGCCCGCTGATGACTGACAGAGGGTCCCCCAGGGACCCTGAACGATAAACCGAAAATCAACTGCTGCATTCGCATGCTGGGGTCCAGCAGAAGACGTTTTTTTGAGCCAATATGAACTTCGACGTTACGTGACAATAAGATCTTAAACATGCCAGTTCGTTCCTGATCAGAATCGGATGCGTTCTTTCTGGAATCACCTGACACGTTTGTCGGCATCATCGTGAAGAGACTTCTGCGCGAAAACGGAAACGGAAAGACGTGTTTTCCAAGCACGTCATAATCACAACGCTGTTGCACCTACAAAACAACCGGAAACAAGACATGCGACCCGTGTTCGAGACGTGAGAGGATTCGCGTGCATGAAAACCTCTGAAAAGATTTCCATACGTCAATGAGAGTGAGTCAGGCTATGCCCCCCCCCAAAAAAAAAAATATCATTTCCGCTCTGATTCAGCAGGAAACAGACGTGCTGGCAGCTCTGCCCCAACATGTTTTCGCGGGACCCGCCCTATTCTCTCAACACCACGCCTCTCCTCGGGGTTCAGGGGCGGGTTCCTGGGATTTGCTCCCTAAAAGCAGAACCAACCATGAGGCGTAACTCTTGGCATTTGAGTTGCAATGAAACCCGGCAATGGAAGGCATGCCGCTACACATTCACATAGATCCAGGAAAGTCGGTTGAGTGTTCAAGCACACACTTGACTGATTCGTCCTGTGGACTTTTGGACTTTGGACTCTGGACCTCTGAACAGGAGCCGACATGAACCCCACAGACCCGACCGACTCCAGAATCAACCGACTCGGCCCCAGGCCCCCCGATTCGACCAAGCTTGCGACACAGACCCGGCCCCCCAGCGACCCACCCGATTGCGATTTCTACTTAGTGAAATTTGGCGGCCAGCCGCGCCGCGGAGGCCCCGACGAGCAAAAAAAGCAAAGTCACTGACAACAGGCCCGAACGCCGACGCAACTACAAAAAGCCTCCCGGGAAGCGATTCTGGTCTCCAAACGCTAAAAAAAACCAAGCTTGTGCAGCTTTTTTGGTTCGGAGCTTTAGCTGAACCTCGTTTTTCTTCCGGGTTCTACTTTTCTACATATTTCTCGGGACATTTCGGGACAACCTCAATTAGCCTGAAGCCACCTTCGTGGAAACCTTCGTGCAGTATCGTTCAGCATCGTGCAAACCTTCGTGCAGCATCGTTCAGCATCGTGCAAACCTTCGTGCAGCATCGTGCAGCATCGTTCAGCGTCGCTGGGCATCGTTCAGCATCGTGCAAACCTTCGTGCAGCATCGTGCAAAGTATCGTGCTGTATCGTGCAAACCTTTGTGCACCGTCGTTGGGTATCGTTCATACGAAGGGAACATTGGCTTGGACAGGGTCTCCTAAAAATATCAAATCCACCCCAAATATACAAACAACATCCTAAAAACATCAAATCCACCCAAAACATACAAAAAACATTACATAATGTTAGAAAACAGCACAAATGCTAGGAAACCAACCACTTCCTCAACTTCGGCACCGCTTCTGCTCGACTTATCCCTGCCTCACCCCCACAGCCCGGACGCCCTGCCCCGCAGTCTTGGATCCTGCCGCAATCGTGCTCAAAACATATCCACTGGACATACTGAGAACACGGTGGGATTCATGCCTAGTCATGGGCACGAACAAGGAGGCCGCCGAGGTCCGGCACGGCACACCCCAGCCCGGGGAATCGAAATGTCGAAAAAATTGGGGTGCGGCATGGTGTTTAAGGCCCATTGGCGCTGTTCTACAAATATGAAAGCAATGTCCAAGAGTCATCAGGATAACAATTTTTCATCGATTCGTTTTGTCCGATTCACCGATCACCGATCGATCCATTCATCCATCATCATGATTCATGATGATAAGGAATTCGGAATTCGGAATACCCATTCGTTCTTTTCAGTGTCTCTTTGCCACTCCTGTGATACAAACCAGCATCGATACACACTAGGATATTGTGAGATGACTTCACTCACCGCCGCTGAATCATCATTGATCATCATTCTTGACTTTGCGCAACCTTGGACAGCGAATCACTTGATCATGATCTTGTTTGTAAGCTGGACTCGGACGTGATCATCTTATCCACTTCCTGACTTTTGCTCCGTCAGACCCAGCCCCGCCCCGGCCCCCCCCCTCCCCCGACCGGCGCGGGCCCCTGCCCCCGACTAACTGCACTTCCATCCAGTCCAGCCAGCAGCTACCCACAAGTCTCCGACTCCAACCAGTTTTTCCAAACCAAGCTACGCCTCCCCCCGACTCCATTGGCTCCGTCCACCAACATTTTTTGCACTGCAACTTCGAAATAAAATTTGCATATATTTTGCCAAAATCGTCTTGCAAACCAATTTTCTTTCAGAACCCAAAAACTTTTCTGATTTTCAACGTTCGGACCATGAATTTCATCATTTCTGCTCATTTTCTGTCTTGACACTTCCAAAACCTCTGTTTTGGCTGGTGTCAGTCATTTGCGGAATTTGGTACATAAAACTACATAAACACATGTTTCATGGACAAGTGGGCTCTTGTGAACCGTCGCAGGAGCCACAGACATGCAAAGCCGGCTTGGCCCAGCCTCCCCAAGAGGCGCGGTGGGACCAGGAAACAGCGTCTGCCGCAGCTCTGTTTGGAGATCCTGCATCCGAAATCGCCCTCAGCCTCTCTTGCGCAGAAAGCAGCTCGTGCCCATGTTTCCCGCAGGGCGGTGTCGTGGGGCGCCAGCCGCCGCGCCTGACAAGCCGCCTCGACAGAGAGCTCTTATGCAGAGTCGCCGTCGCTGCAAGAAGTCCGAGGTCCGAGGTCAGCCAAGCCGCCAAGCGAGCTTCTCCCAGGCGGCCTAGAGCCTGCAGTAGGCGAATGAAGTCTGAAGCGCTGGAAAAGAACTCTAAGAGCAGCTAAGAGGCTCTCAAAGCAGCCGCGACACGAAAGTGCGCTTTGGGCCAATCTGGCTGCAGCTCCTTGCACTTCTCAGCCTGGAGCTCCGGAACGGTACCCAACGACTCACAAGAGAACAACTCAAAGCACCTCCGACAAGGCCAGCTCGTTGTCCCCAAGCCGCAGCAGACAGAGAGAACCTGAGAGATAAGCACCGCAGCCGCAGCCAGAAAAGCTCAGGGCTCAGCCAAGCGGCGGTTCGCCCGGAGGGCCGCTGCCTGCTCCTCGGTGCCCTGAAGAACTTCTGAGACTCTCTGAGACTCTAAGACTCTTTGGAACCGGGCCAGCCGCCTGGCCGCTCAGCTCCCGCAAAGCCGCTGCGTAGCTTTGCAGGGCATCGCGGAAGCGGCCTCGCAGCTAGCCGGCCCCGCCGGCTCCCCCCAGGCAGAGGCGGACCGCCGGCCTTGCTGGAAGTGGTCTTTGCCTTCGGCCTCAAGACAGCAAGCGAAGGCAGCTGCGCTGCAAGCGGACACGGGCGGACACAGCTGCGCGCGCGCGCGCTCGGGCAGAGGACCTGGAAAGCCGCGGCCATGGTCGAAGCCCGCGCGCGCCGCCGCCAACGCCATGCGGGCCCGCAACTGACGCCTACTGCGCTGCCTGTTGCTTGGAGCTTGGCCTTGATGCTGTCAAGTTGCAGTGCTTTCGTCTTAAGATCCCTTTCACCACCAGAAAAGTGGATGATTCCCTCGCCCTTGTCTCGAGACGGGCCGCACATTGATCTGCTTGGGTCGGCACTCTGCTCACTCTCTGCAGATTCCTGCCTGGTTGAGCTGCTGCGTGTACATAACCAGTTGTTGTTCAAGCCTCAAGAACAACCAACAACAACGACGGCGATGATCCTCCTCCTGCTCTCCGGCTCAGCGCGCCTGTCACGCATTTCTGCTCCACGTGCGAGCTCGGAGTGCTTGCGCCTATACACGAAGCACAGATGTCACCTCTCAGTATATGCGCATGCTGTCGTCTATGCCCGGCACTCATAGTCTGCTTTCAGCAGCTTGCACTCCTTTGTCAGTTGAGCCTTGCCGGATCTTGCTGGCTGGGCCCAAAACTCGCTCTGGGCCCCGCCTTCAGCTTTCGAGCTTCTCCAACTTCCAAACCTAGCTGCTGCTTCCGCTGCCCAGCGGCCTTCCGCAGAACTCTGCGACCGGCCGAAGGACCAAGGAGCGACCGACACCGCCTCGACGGCCGCTTTCATGTCGGTGAACTTCAGCATCGTCTGCCCGTGGAACTTGTCCTCCCCAAGCGAAACTTCGAAAACAAAAAGACCTGAGCAGACAACATCCAGCACCAGCACCAGCCTTTCCAAAAAAATGCGGATCGGAGTCAGCATTTCGACATCGACTCGCTCGTTCCGGCTTCAGCGCTGACCAGTTCGAATCTTCTGAACCGCAGCAGACAAGATATGGACGCATTGCGTGAGAAGCCTGGTTTTCCGTTTTCCGCCGTTGCCAGTAGAATGGACGTAGCAGCGCGAAGAACGCGCAGCAGAAGAGCAGATCAGTATCTGCGTATTGTTGCACAGGTGAGGCGTGTGCGGTGGCCAGCGGCCACTGGACGACAGCGTTTCTGAGTGTGCAGAGAGCTATATGCACCCGTATACACCTCAATGTCACGGACGCAACACCCTATAGCAAACAGTAGAGAACACCGCAAAACATCAGGGCAAAGCATCTTGTGAGCCCACCCAAAGCACGACCACGAAGCCTCGGCAGAGTGCTGGTTCGGTGGGGCTGAGAGGGAGAGAGAACCGCTGGCTTCCGAGCACACGGACACGTGTTAATTCGTGCCGTCGCAGGAATGCAGCCCTTTGTCAGGCGTGACAACAGGCAACAAGAGGAACTCAGAGTTAGCTTTCTCGATGATGCTTCGGAGGCAGAGACATAGCGCTTGTCCATCCTAGCTGTCAGGGGATGTGTCAGAAGAGCTCCAGTCGTGATGTCCTTGCCCTTAAGCATGCTTCGGTGAGTGCCTGAACTGCCAGTATGGTTTCATGAACTACACACCTCCACCCACAAACAAAAGCGACCGAAGCACTGCATCAGCACGAGCAACAAGATGCATGATGGTGCGAGAACTGTGCCACCAGCGCACCCGAATACCACTCCTTGTTACACGAATGCGCCTGCGAATGCTAGTTCTGACTGATGCTTTAAAGAACGATTGCTCACGTCCGATTGTGCTCCCGCCCAGCAAGAAGCTTCGGCATGCACTCGAAGCAAGCAAGGATGAAAGACGCCTTCGCGTCTTCCTACACTTCTGCAGTTGTGGTATGATGAATTCTTGTTCTCTATGACCTATGATGTGCAGCGGCCGAAGCATACCGAAGCTCGATGTTTGCAGCTCCTAAACTCCACGTTGTTGTCGTGGACAGGATGGTGTTCGTGCTGTTGCACCGGCAGTACCATGCGGCTTCGGCATGCGTCCTCGAGCTCTGCTGTCTTCTGAGCTCGCTCGTCCACCTCTGTCCTGCGCAGCTTGGGATTGATCGCCGCTTTGGTGCACTGCGTTCGCTTAGCAATTGAACATGTTCACAACGTTTCGGCCCGGCTCTGGCAGGGCGCACTGATGCTTGGCCACATCTGTTCGAAGAAGCTCGCAATCCCTGGCAGGAGCACGCACATCGACTCAAACACCAACAAATACCCAAGGACAGAGTGGGATCGACCAATAGACTGGTGACCTCGATCGAACAACGTCACCCCAATCAATCCTTAACCCATGGTTAGTTTACAGTTGCAACGACTCGCGACATCCTGCAAACCACATGGCATGCCGACTGATATACGACACCGGACGCACGGGACGCTATGCGGCTTTCGGTAAAGGCACGCACGCACGCACGCACGGCACGGCATGGCACGCACACACAAAACAAAGATGCGTCACAATCCAAGACATGCTGGCGCGTACATGTACATGTTTGTGCACGCAAGGGGCGGGGTCCGTGCGTTCTTGCTGCAAGACTTTGGGGTTTTGGGTTTGGGGGGTAACCCGGGGGGTATGGGGTTGGGGAAATGGGACGTCCAATCGGCCAACACCAACCTCACCGTCACCACATCGTAGTCGTAACCGTCGTAACCGTTCTGCATCACCGTCATGAGCTGTGAAACTCCTATCATGACCTGATGCGGATTTGAAGTTGCTTCCCGAAAGCTGAATGTCCGAATGCGGGCATCGGCAAACAGATGAGGAACGCTGTTCCGAAAGTCATTAGCCCCCTTGACGATCCCCTTCGAGCTCAAACCTTTCCCCTTTCCCTCCTCTGTCTGAGCTGTTGGGCGATGCAAAGACATGGCACAGATACTTGACAAGTGAATCGGACAAAGCTCTCACGATTGAAACATTCAGTTGTCGGGCAACTGCCGCATACTTGGAACTCCGGAGCGACTGATTTGATTGCTTCTTGTCTTTTGTACTCCCCAACTCATCACAAAAGGAGAATAAGTGCTTGCCTGCGTGCACTCACGGAGGACTGAATTGAATGGCTTGGCTTCAGAACGATCCGTCGAGTCGAGGACGGTCGGCAAACAAATCTCATATACTATAACTTAAGTCGCTCTGATCTCGAAGCAAGAAGGAGCTCCAGGCGGTCCGAACTGACCAAGATCTCCAACAAAAACCAAAAGCTGAAAAGCATGTCGAGCTCCGTCCAACCAACCGCCCAAGCTTCTGAGCCAGCTCGCTCTGCCCGATGGGGTGGCAACAATGCCAGGATCGAAACCTTGTATCTGAGGTGCCTTTTAACGTTTGAAGCCACGCCCTCGTCCTCTGCTCTGAAGATGCAGACATGAAGTCAAACATGATGCTGGGCAGGGCGGCGATAGCGGAGGGAGGAGCCGCACGACAACACTGAAGGTTCCATCCTGTCTCGTCATTTGACCAACGCGCTCCAAGCTTGGATCCGGAAATCCAACTTCACAGGAGTGGTGATGTGAACGAGCTGTCTCCAGTCTCCAGGGCCCCAGGGTCTGCCGCCAAAACGTGCACTTGACAAGGACAAGGACGAGGGAGTTTTGTGTATGTGTTTTGAGAACCTTCCAAGATATGGAGGGAAGGCCATCGAGGATGTTGCAACCCGGCTTCGGTCCACACTTCCATGCGGCAACGGACTGGCTGGAGCGTTCCCACTTCTGGGTTCTAGCAGCGACGGCCACGGCTCGACCTGCCTCATACTGGGGCTCTCGCAGGGACTGCACAAAGCCAAAGGAGCGCGCTTCTTCATGGCCCAAGGCCACGAGCATGGCATGACAAGCGCAAGCCAAAACAGGGCGGCGGCCACATTCTGAAAGGGTCGTTCTCAGCCGTGTCAGAATCCCAAATCAGTCGCAGTAGTGACAAGCGGTGCCAGAGAGCGTATGGAAGCCCGAAACAGGCTGTTATTGGCCAAACAACGTCGCAGCAAAATGTATGGCAAACAGACAGATGTGACACGGGGCGGCACACGCCATCCACCGAAGCGATGACAGCACTAGCCGATTGAAATTGAATTAGCAGTGCAGACAGGTTAGATCCATCTTGCGTGACACGAACAGAACATTAAATGCTCCGGCTGCGATGCAGCTGTCACTTGGACATTCGTAGCAAAAGCTTGATGCCACGTGAGAAACCAGCATCAGACAAAGCTGCACAGACACAAACTGAGAAGCTTGAGATTTAAAAAAAGCATGGAACAACGGGATCGACACAGTGGTCGCCTTCACTCTGAGGGTGCGGAAAACGGTGGGATCTACAAGGGGGTCGCCTTCACGTGTGAAACAAACAACCGGCGACCCCTGCGTCCTACCTCCACTTAGTCACTCACATCTCAGAGTCACGAGTCAGAAAGACTGCAATCAAGATTGCAATGAGCAGTTGAAGCACTCAATGCATCACTGGAGTCACTGGAGTCATCTCTCTCGTAGTGGCGATGTCGGGTGTGTCATTGCCCATCGTTTACGCCGATGGAGGCCAAGCATGTGGCACCATAGTGGAATATGCATTTTCCACAGCAAGTTCATGAAAGCAGTCGTCAGCAGCCGCTACGCCAACATCCCGAGTCGACGCAAGTGCTCAAAAGGATCCTGGTGAAAGCACAGCCCGCTTCGCCCGAGGACTGCAAGCAGAAGCGGCCAACCCACGCAGTCAACGGTCGCCAATGAGTCTGGTCAACCAAAAGACGGAGCTGACCAGCATGGATTTTCGTCTAACTCTATTTATGCAACTCATGAATTACCATGACAAGCGATGCCTGTTCCACCATTGAGCCAACGTCACGACACACAGGGAACCGGCTAACTGGTCGACGGGAAAGGCGCCAACATACAATGTGGTCATGACATTCTTTGATTTATTCATCTTTCGGTGTCACCGAGATATAAATAGGACGACACGGCGCGGAGGGCATTCCCTACTGTTATTTCGGCAGCGAACCTACAACCTCCCGTGTACACACACAGTCACACAGAGCAGAGTGGCAAAGTGCATTGAGACATTGTATCAAGTAAACATCGTGTTCCCTTCGCAGCGAACCCCCAACCTTGTGAGCTGATCCAGGCTCTGCTTATGCTTCCGGTATCTCGATGCCCAGTCCTGGAGTTCGAGGGTCGAAGATGTGAATGCAGAGGCGACCGAGGCGCTGTCCGACACGTTCTGGTCGAAGAGCTGGCAGCGCAGACACGCAAACGAGGCAGAAATCTGTGGAAAGGGAAAGGCGGGGGTATACCGGACCTTCTTTCGCAGGACCGGCCCTCCGCATGTAGAGCCCACACTGATGCCTCGGCTGAGCTGACGCCCCGAAAATTCTCCCCGCAGTCCGGGCCTGGCCTGTCATGCTCGCCACGCTCGACTGCTCTGGCATCTCACCTACCACGCCGGTCCACAGGCACCACAGACATGCTGCATGCTGCTTTGGGCTTTGGGCCAGGCTCGAACACTGCTGTCCATCCATCAAAAGGGCCAACAATCACACAGAACTGCTTCCAAACACCACATTGGTTTTGCTGTTTTGCTTGACAAAGAGCAACCACATACGTCGCAAATCAAACAGAAATTCAACGGTTCTTTCAATGGTTATTATTCCATACTGATTAGCGGAAATCTCTTCTTATTAAATTGAGATATCCTGACTCTAATTGAGGCGTCGTATCTAAATCAAGGTAGAAGTTTAGTGTTGAGCCCCTTGCTCAATGTGGGCGTTCTTACTTTTTGTGCCTATTGGAGTATCTGAGATGCGCCCCAGTTCAAGGGCTGCTGTCCATGCCCTCCGTGCTCCCCGTCTTTCCAATGGCGTCTAGTGCGTTACAAGCGCGTTGCGACTTGATGATGGATCTCACGCGTCAGCGCACCTGCCAGCGGCGCATTGACCAGCCTGTTCCAGGAGTCTGCATGACATTGCGCTACATACCGGTTGGTGCGGATAGACAGTGGAGCATAGTGGAGCAGTCGGCCTAGCACTCATTGGCGCGAGAGGTGGACCTTTATAGACAGCAGACAGCGTTTGGAAGGAGGCTTGACGCGCTCTGTGGAGGGCCGGACCTTGCGCTGGATAGCCCGCTCCTGGTGGGCTGTCGGAGACGTCACCGAAAAGAAGACAGAGAACGCACCGAACTCGCAGCTCCCAGGTCTGTCCCGAACGGGGTCCGCTTGGCCCGGGCTCCTGCGGATTGGACTCGGACCTCGGAGACGCGGAAACTCAGCGCCGAAGTGACGCCTTTAGAGCAGCCGGCCGCCGGCAGCATGGCCCACACAAGGCGCCGGCATGGCCCTCGCAGGCCGCCGTGACGGCGGCGACGTCGGCGAAGGCGCCGCGACTCGCCCGGCCCCCTCCGACTCGCAATCACGGTCGCTCTGGCTGTCAGTCAGAGATTGGAGTCAGGAGTCAGGGCGGGGAAACTGACAGATCTTCCGCGCGCAGTGCGCCTTAGCAGAGTCTAGCTAGAGTCTAGCAGAGCCTAGCATGCGGTTCAGTGGATCAAGATGGCTGGAAGCACATGGGTTCCTCGTGGTTCTGTCTTGTGCAAGCAACAGCTCCAACAGCCGAACCCGACGCGTCTGTTGAGCCAAGCGCACAAGCCATTCATGGGTACATATAGTCACTTCTTAATGTCACACTTGTAGGCAGAAGCAAGCTACGACGTCCGCTTTCCGGTTTGAGGAGGCGTTACGTCTAACTTCAATCTGTCCTCGGCAAGCAATGAACTTTTGCCGATTGGCACCGAACAAGCTCCTTCGTCAGCAACTCTGGCCTTTGGAAAAAACCCAACTGGCACAGAGCTCACAGCTGCGAGGGAGTCCCTCCGCGTGAAACTGTCCGAGTCTGTACAGGCTCCCTCGCTGGAGATGAGAGTAGCAGGCTGCTTCTTGCAACCAAAGGCATAAAACGCTTGGAAAGCGCGAGGTGCACCTTGACAAGCCCCTGGGCCACTGTGGCCACTCCAATTATGCGACTGGCCGTCTGCCAGAATGAAAAAACCTTGCAAACCTCGGCAGCTGAAATTCGTGGCTTCGTAGAGAAGCATATCCGGAGAGGGTGCTGCGCCCATCTGCGGATCTAGCCCTGAGCCCAAGCAGTCGCGTCTTACTGCATACGCATGAGTCGCTGCCGGGGGGTCGCCAGAGAGAGAAAGAGGGAAGACTGGACCAGACTGCTTGGGGCTTAAGACGGCTCGTGTGCACACGGGCCGGAACATGTCTCGCCCGCATGCACTTGGATCGAAGCAGGTTCAAGCAACCCATTTCGTCTACGCTGTAGCTTTGCGAAGAGCTTTCTCCACCGCCATGGGACCTCTTGTCTCTGGCACGTACCTGGCACAGCCAGGCAGTGTGCAAGGGCAACGAAGCACCGATATCATTGGCCACAGTGACTCAGCCGCCGGCGTAAAGCCCTGAATGTGAAAACCAAGAGATGTCACGTCGGGGGATGATGGCCTGGCAGTATCTTTCCGTGAAGCGTCTAAAGCATCCGGATCGCACCGGCTGCCTCAGTCTAGGTGAGCAGCATCTCATGCTGGCTGAGGGCCTGAAATCGAGTCGAAGCAATGCGCCGTTTAGTTTCCACTGCTCTTTGCCCTTGCGCAGTTCCCTCAGGGCCTGAAAGGAGGTTGTAGCCCCAGGTTCAAAGCAGATTCCCAGTCGATGCTGGTAAGCCATGGACTCGCCTGCTGTGCGCTGGGGATGCCAGTTACCAGTGTTGGCAGCACAGATCAGCACCGCAGAGCGCGACTCGCGACGCGCTCCTTGACGCTGGCAGCCGACTTGAGTCTCAATGCCAGGTCAGGGGTCAAGAGCTGCCGGACGAGCGACGTCGCCTCCGTGGAGTGGACCTCGCGGAGTGGCGGAGCATGGCGGAGCCGAGCCCGGAGCATGGCGGCTGCGCTCTTGGCTCCGGGCATGCTCGAAGCGGAAGTGTCCGTCCATGATCATTTGGAACAGCCTCCGAATCTCCAGAATTGCACGTTGGTGCTCACTCCTTGCATCCCGCCTGCTCTCGTTGGGATCTCGGAATGGAGGTCGCCCCTCCAACATTTCGAAGATCAGCACACCGAAGGACCACCTCTAAAGACGGGCAGCAGAAAAGCCACTTGTCACAATTGTCGCAGTGGCCCCAGCGGACCACCAGGGCCCCGACCAGTCCAACTCGCAGGCATAGGACTGCCTGCGAAAGACCTCGCCACAATGTCACAACGCGACGAGCACCCTTTCTCGGAAGCCCGGATTCTGCCCCCCCTCGCCTCTGGTGGCAGGTACTCCGGCGTGCCACACATCGTTGACGTCAATGCCGTTCCTGCTACTTTAGACTTTAGACGGATAACACGGGTTCAAGAAGCCGAGGGGCACACTTAATCCCATCTTCGCCAACCCGAAATCCGTCAGCCTGGAGCCAGCACAGCTCAAGCATGCTCAGGCATGCTCAGGCATGTGCAAGCATTCCAGCGCCCAGTCCTGACGTGGCCATCGAGGTCCAACAGCACGTTCTCAGGCCTCGCAGTTGCGGCGCCCACCGCGAAGACTCTCTCGGCCGCGTGGTCTCAGGTCCGGGCTTCAGGTCTCGGTGGCAGATCCCCCGGTCGTGGAGATATTCCAAGCCCAAGGCCACCTTAAGGAGCTCGGGAGGGCGGACGGAGAGAGAGAGAGCAGTGAGCAGAGCGAGCCCCCTGGCCTCAGCCACAAAGAATCGAGCTTGAGCTTCGCTAAAACGCCCTGAGCGGCGAATGTGCTCGAGGAGTTCGCCTCCGCCTCGGCTCAGGACCAAAACTTTGCACGACTCGAGGACTCTGCTCCTCTAGCTTCGAAATCCCTCGCAAGCTTGCATTGAAGACTCTTCTTCATCGGCAATCTTAACGTCTCCTTCTCTCGGATGGTCTTGGCTCAAGAAAAGTGCGAAGCCATCGAGCACATGGCACATGGGCTCCAAGCCCTTATTAGCGGCCCGAGGTGCCACATCGATGATGTCCCAACCATGAGAGGATGAACGACAAATCACTTAAAATCTGCGCTCCGTGAACAAATCATATATATATATATATAGATATATATATATATATAGATAGATAGATAGATAGATAGATAGATAGATAGATAGATAGATATATATATATTTCACGACCAGGCCCACGACCACCATGAGACACAATGAGAACTCCTTGATCTGGACCGAGACAAAGCCAAAACAGAAGCGTGATGACACGAAGTGCCTAGCCCCTTGGCTACGCAAGACGCCCAAGTCACGGCTCTCTTGCCGCCCCAAAGGTGCAGCCTATTCCGGAGGAGCTCTCACGAAACACGCAACAGCATCAGTCCTGCAACCCGGTATAACCAGGTTCAATCCAGCGGCCAAAAAAATCTGTCAGGAGGTAAAGTCGCGATGCTGACTGAAAAGCATACCTGATCCATTCGTCTGCGACAGCTTCTCCTCGACGCTTTGTGCATGCATGCGGCATGCCTCAGCCTCGCTACGAAGGGATGATTGGCCTGTGCAGCAGGGGCACTGCCGGACACACCACGTCACAGAGTCACGGGCAGTCACAGGCCAGGGGGACGCTTCTCAACACCTTGCGCTCGGTGATGATATACTCCGCACGGCGCCTCTTCAGGGCGAAGGCAGAGCGGAGCGTCGCGGAGCGTCGGGGAGCGTCGGGGAGGGTTTCGGGGGAAGCCTGGAGTCCCCAATTCGAGACTTGCGCAGCACCTTCATGGCCAGCAGCCTGGGGACGGCTCGGGCGCTCGCGGGCGCTCGGCTCCCAAGCACGTGGTGACGTGGTATGCGCCTTTGGGAAGTGTCATCCCTCTTCCGCACCAAATAGACTCGACCGAAGGTTCCTGCGACAAGGGAAGGCCCGCACAGAACGCCCCCTCCCTGTCCCCTGCACCCGCCCCCAGCCTTTCCCAATGCACTGCAAGAACCTCGCAGCAACAAAAGAAAAGGCCTTTCGGGGGGCCAGTGGCACTCAAAACTCAGGGACGTGCTCGAAGTCGGCTTCTCGGATTCGCTGTGGCGAATTTACCTCGATCGGCACATGCCATCATCGGTCTCTGTCAGATTGTTGCGAGCAGCCGGCATTCCCCTTCTTGAATGCCGGAAGCCGTTCGAAGGCCTTCTCGATAGCTTCTGAAGCCCGCACACGCACCAGGTGAACGACAACCCTTCTGTCCAGAGCTATATGCAGATCTGCCAGGCACAAGGGAATCCCTTCAGGCCTGTTCTTGACCTCCATGGGAGGCCTCGCGACCTTCAAACACACGCCTTCGAGTCCCACCAAAATTCGCCAAGCCTTGAGATATCTTGAGATCGGAACATGTCGTGTTGGGGCTCCCTGCAAGGCAAACCGCACTGCTCTGGGGCAAACTTTGGCATCAAGGTCATGCCAGAACCTTCATCTTCGAGACGCTGACAAGGTCTCCTGTCCTGCTGGGTCCGGAGCAATGCAGCAGAGCAAGACAAGTGCCGCCAAGCTCTCCTTGCGGAGCGAGGTGCACAGGTTGCGACCTACACGTGCCCCCATGGCCTTGGACTCAGAGAGTCTCTGATGACAAAAATCGCGCAAATCTCAGCGCGAAACCCAGCCACGAGGCAGGCGAGGCAGACCTCGGCAGGGTGGGGGGCCCGGCCCAAAACCCGGAGGCTTGGCCACTGCCCAGGCCTGCCTCGCTCGGCCTTCGCAGCGCCATAGAGTGGGGGACACGGCGATGGCAAAACTGCGCTGGACGGGCCTATATGTTTTCAGCCAAAACGGCATTTGCCAGTAGCATCCAGTAGCCAATAGATAGGAAGAGCAGCTGGCGGAAGGCAAAATCAAAGCCACGAGTCAGTGGTGCATTTTCCCCCGCCGCTTGAATTCGATTCACCGCCGACTACGTTGGATAAACAGAAGCTCTGTAGACCAGCTGGACGTGGGAGGCGACCTGACACATTGCGACATCCCCCCTGCGCTTTTGCTCCGAGTCCTGGCCGACCTGGGCAAAAGCACCGTTGAGCGCGGCCGCTGTCGGCGGCAAGTGCGCCGTGCCGCCGTTCGGGGCAGCAGCCGGGGGGTGCTGGGCTGGGCCCTGGACATAGGGCTCCCGGTTGGGCTGCTGGTACGATTGGGGCACCTCACAACACAAGCGATGGCCATTGCCGAATTCTTCATCCCTTTCCTCCCTGGGCCGTCTGCAAACGGCGCTGGCTCAAGCCTCGTCATGAACATTCGTTCAACAAAGCAAAAAGATTGTGTGGCCATGTGCCGTTCTGACGAGATTCGATTGGCAGGGGCCGGCCAGCATGGGAACCTGAAATCTCTGGAATCCAACTGAAGGGCAGCCGGCGGCTTTGGCTCTGTGAGGTTCGTGCCGGTTGAAGACGATGGCCAAGATCGAGATCTCCCAGAACTCGGACCTTGGCGGGAAACGCAATGCGTTCTCGCAGATGCAATGTCCCAACAGTTGCCTGTGCTCGGATGCCTGAGCGTCCGTAGAAAGGGGCCGGAAAGCAGTCGAGATGTGCCGGTTGTTATCAACAGCCGTGCCAGCGCAAACTTTCATGTCCTGATACTGCTTCTTTTGGCTTTTTGGCTTTGTCACTCAAGCGCAGGCTCTTGCCTGGATCAAAGGCAGCACCACAGCCAGAAACGCGTGCTCGCTGTCCAATTTCAGGAGGCCCTGCCACGGAACATGAGACTTGCTCGTCTCTTCCTCAAACCTTATTGAACCTTATTGGTCCCACAACTCCGCACCCAATTGTTTCAACACCGTCATCTGTGCTGCACGGCTTTCGAACGAGCAGTCCTCGGAGCGGTCCACGAAGCCTTTGGCTTCGCTGCGGATTCCTTCAGCTCGATTGACTTGTGCCTGAAGGTCATGGTATACGATGAAGCTGATGAGGACGAAAAATGAAGATGGAGTTGAAGATGATGATGATGATGATGATGATGATCTGCGAACGGAGTTGCGATCACGGAAGAGTAGCACTGTCATCCCAAGGCGCCCAGGGTGTGTAAATCGTTGACGTGCGACACTCAAGCACTGGCTACTTTGTCCTATACAGCAGCACTTGATATCATGTTGTGCCTACGTTTCACACCCGTCGTATCTCCATGTGACCGCATCCCCACCAAGATCAAGAGAACCTACTGCTCTTCAGGGCTCACATTCACAAAAGTCAACACGGCTGCTTCTACAATGGCACAAAACACAGGGGAATTTCACAGCAGCACTTGATGTCATGTTGCGACTACGAATACCTCACCACGGTAGCCTGATTGGGGCTCCTAAAGACGGGTACCTTCACAGTGATGATGATGATGATGGTGGTGAAGATGAAGATCAAGATGAAGATGACGATGAAGATGGTGATGGTGATGATGATGAAGATGACGATGATGAGAGGAGGAGGAGGATCAATGAACACATAAATACATAAACATATAAACATATACATACACGTACACATACAAAGTTCACGCGAGCTGCCGCTGCTGCCGCTGGTGTTGTGGTGCTGGTGGTGCTGATGGTGAAAGACTCTGAAAGACTGATGACGATGGCGACAGTAGTGAGGGCGGGCACTAGGACAAGAAGAAGATAAGATAGTTGCGGCGCCTTGTATGAAGCTGGCGACAACGCTGAGCATGAGGCGGAAGAGGAGGAGTATAAGGAGGAGGAGGAGGAATCACTATCACGTTTTATCCCCTGCGAAAGGATCCTCTGCATGCAAATTGCCGACGCTTCTGGCCTCCCACACGGTGTCCCTTAAGCGGGGCAAAGAGGGCAGCCCGATGCTCAGTGACCCGCAATGAGCACACAGGGGCAGTGTATGAGTTGTACATGAACTCATATCGTTCCTGTACCCACATCCAGCAGGCCCATCATCGTTCGACATCAATGATGGTGATGAAGAAGCAGAAGATGATGACAATGACGACGACGATTGCCATGATCATCAGCATTCTGGTTCCTCGTATACGTACCTTCCAGTACGGATTATCCACAAACCTTCAAGTTCGACTCAGTGCCGAAAGCAATTTTTGGGTTTATCGGGGAAAACGGTGGAGGGGCAGATTGGGGGGCGGTGAGGCTCTGGCCTGCAGCTGCACACGCTTCTGCTTCTCCTGGCCGGGGCCGCACTGCGACTGCGGCGTTGGCGGTCTACGTCCTCCAGGGCTGATTTCTGCAGAAGTTGGCGCCGCTTCGTCTCGATGAGCTCCCTGCGCACGCTCAGCTACGCAATGCCATGGCGATGCTCTGCAAGGCGCAACACGTCATGCTATGCTGCGTCTTTGGGGCGCCGTTACCGCTACATGCTCCCCAGCGAGGCGCTAGGACCGCTAGGACTTAGGATGCGCTCACCGAGCCGCTGACCTTAAGTGGTCCATCTCGTTATTCACCTGGCCGCGGGCTACGCAGCTACACCACGCTTCCCTGCACCACAAAAACCCGAAGAGCTTAGGCAGCCGGGCGATGGCCCGTTGAGCTTCCCCCCTCTGCGTGATCTCCTATGCCAACGCTGCCATGTTCGCTTAGTGACAGCACTGGAAACCTCAACACTATCCCGAACTCGCCCGTCCTTGTCCGCTTCCTGGAAGGCTTCCAACAGCACCTGGCAGGAAATCAGGAAAGCCAGAACCTGAGGTCGCGCAGCGGGCCGCGCAGCGTCATTCGGTCGCGACAAGTTAGGCGGCCTCGGCGCTACTGATGCGCTGGCTCAGCCGGTCGATCCATGCCTGGAGAGTCTCCTTTTCAGCGGATTTCCCCCCCTGCACCCTCCTGCACCCGGCGCGTTTTTTGGGTCCTTCCCGGTCTGAACTGCCTTGTCCAAGTTCGTCTTTTGGTGATCTCGATGTTCCCCGAAGATTGAACAGTGCGAGCCTGCAGTGGGCTCTCTTCTGATCGCCCTGACCCAATGCTGCACGTGAGCTCAGGATGGCGGCAGACAGGACTTCGGCATTCCAGGCAATAGAAATCCTCGGCCGTTCACGGGCCTAAAGCCTAGGGCCTACGCACAACCAGGGCGATGCGGCAGGCGTGGAGATGGCTTGAGCTCCCGGCTAAGCTCTGGGAGTGCTCCTGGCAGACCATCCTGCCCAGAAAGCAGAAAGCAGAAGCAGCAAAAGCGAAAGAGCGAGAGCTCAGGAGCTCAGGGTGCGCCCATCGCCGTCCTGGAGGAGACTTGACCGGCCTTCACGCAGGGCGCAGGGCGGCTCTCCCCCGACTCTCCTTGGGGCCCGGGGCCCAGGCGGCATTCCGGAGGTCAACGATCTGGTGGCTGCGGAAGTAGCCTGACAGAGAAAGGTTCTGCTTTCGATGTGCGCAGGCTGTGGGAGCTGTTTATAGGCGCCTCTTGAGTGCGTGGCTTGCACGCAGTCCTGCAAAAAAGTTGCGATGCGATCAACATCTTAACTTATATTGAGAACAACTCCTCGCACAGAACTCCATCGCACGTCAGGCATCGCTGTGAGGCCAGCTTTTCCTCAACGTGGCTGTCGCTTCCGCCCGAGCATTCAAGAGTTTTTCATGGTGACATGCGTCCTTCCCTTCCCCCAGATTACTTTCGAAAACGGGGAAGCCAGACCCTGAAATCCAGTCAGAAGAGGCTTAAGAGCTGGAGTGCACCCCAGATCGTCGGCGGCACCCGACACCGAATGTCAGCCCCGTAAAGTTGCACAGCACGGCCTCGCAGTGCCCGCACTTTGGCGGCGCTTCGCCGTCCTTCGACAAAGGGTCTGAGCTCTCACGTTGGACGATGTGACAGAAGATGCTTCCTTCGTCTGCTGAAATGTCTCCACCACGAGCTTCAAGACGCGGTCCTGCCACTGAAAGTCTCACGTGGAGCGCCCAGCTACCCAGAGGCTGGCTGCTGGGAGTCTGCGAACCACTCTTTCTGCAGGGGCAGGTAGGGACAGAATGGCCACATAGCGTTCTTGACGGTACGACGTTCACTAAAGCACGTTCACAGGGTTGGAGGGCCCGCAGCCCCCCCTCCATTTACAAATGCAATGCCAGGGGGACTGGCAGGTCATCACATCTTAAACACGCCCCCTCATGTGGCGATTACGGTTCTCCATGTATTTTATACGTATTTGGTGATTCCGGTTCATCATATATGCTGAACATGCCCCCTCATTTGGCGATAACGGTTCATGACATATCTTAAGCACGCTCCCTCATGTGGCGATAACGGCTCATCATATGTCTTAAACACGCCCCCTCACTTCGCGATTCCGGCTCATCCTATATGTCAAACACGCCCCTTCATTTGGCGATATCGGCTCATCATACATGTTAAACACGCCCGTTGGCGATGCCGGTTCGCCATGTATTTTTGACGAGCCACCCCTAATTTGGTGATTCCAGTTCATCATATATCTTGAACATGCCCCCGTTCCGCGATAACCGTTCGTCACATATCTTAGGCACGCTCCCTCATGTGGCGATAACGGTTCATCATATATCTAAACACGCCCCCTCATTTCGCGATCCCGATTCCTCCTATAATATCATAAACACGCCCCACAGTTGGCGATATCGGCTCGTCATACCTGTTGAACACGCCCCCCTCATTTAGCGATAACGGCTATATATTTTCAACACGCCCTCATGCATTCACCATATATCTTAAATTCAAGACGCCCCCCTCAACATCTTAAACACACCCCCTCATTTGGCGTTTCCGGTTCCCTCACCTGACGATAACAGATCATCATACATACAGTACATGTTAAACACGCCCCCTCATTCAGCGATAACGGTTTGTCATATATCTTAAGCACGCCCCCCTCATTCTGCGATTCCGATTCATCCTATATCTTAAACACGCCTCCTCATTTGGCGATATCGGCTCATCATACATGTTAAACATGCCCCCCTCATTTGGCGGCAACGGTTCCTCATGTATCTTAAACACGCCCCCTCACTCGGCGATAACATACCGACCGCTTCCCGCGGTGCTCAGGACAGTCCTTCTGGGGCTTTCCAAAGCCAACCACCCCAAACTCGCAGCTCTTTACTGGCTTGCGATAATGGTTCACATGGTTCACCATATATCTCAAACCCGCCCGACAAAGTTGCCGATAACGGTTCACCATATCCCCCTCATGTAGCGATTCCGGTTCACCACATATCTTAAACACGCCCCCTCATTTGGCGATTCTGGCTCACCAGAATATAGTCCGACTGACTCGAGTTTCGTCTCTTCACCAAACAGAGCCTTGTAGCATCATGGTCCGTCCAAAGAAACAAGTTTGCGATGAGTCAAGATGTCAGCAAAAGGAACAGGCATGCACAGGGCAGCGTACAGCTCGGTTTGACAAATCGAGTGATCGCCAACATCTCTTTTCCACTTCTCGAAGACTTCACCCTGCCACCTTCGTCCCGCACCAGAGCTGGATCAATCAAGACCGCTCCATTCCAGCAAATCTGCGTTTCTACAATCCATCCATTTTTGGTATAGGACATCACTGAAGTGACCCTCAGAAACCCGGAGTCGTCTGTTTGACCTCCTCGCAAAACCCTTGCAGAGTACAACCCCGGCGCATGGACCAGCCGACCGACCGCCCGACTGACTGACAGACCGGCGTGATCGCGTACCGACCGATGGACCGTGCGACTGACCGACTGACTGGCACCGACCGACTGACTCACTGCTGGGCGGGCTCGCGGATCGACTGACCGACTGACTGGCTAACTGAGCGGGTGCTTGAAAACCATTCAAGCGAAAACCCAAAATAATACCCAAAAAGAAACCCCCTCACCCCCACCAAGGGACGTCGACTGCCTATCTTCCCTCTACTCGCAAATAGAAGCATCACGGACAGCGACGCCCGCAGGTTTGTGTCGCGAGCCGTCTCACAAGCTACTCTCCCGGCCGCAGCAACATGGCTTAACAACGAACACAAAGACAGTACATGTACACTGGATCTGTTCGAGCTACGCCGTCTTCTAAGGAGCTGCGATGCATGACAACGGTACTGAAGGACTGAGGTGTCACATGCACTTCTTTGAGGTTGCCAGTTGCCTTTGCTGCGCAAGGGTGGGAACCGTGAGGGCGCTTTCTTTCGTTCCAACATGTTCCGACAGAATATTCACACCCAGATGTCTGTAGGCCTGTCGGGGCATCACGGGTGGCCTCACAAGTTAAACTCACCCTCGGGCTTGGGCTTCCCTTCCCCTACAGGCACACACCGTCGTTTGAGGATGAGGACCAGCGGCACTCTGAGGCCAGCGCCACCTTGACTCCTGCTTCCGAGATCGCTGTCTGCTCCTTGATGCAGAGACTGCGGAAGCGCGTGAGGAAACACGGCCCATGCTTCGAGGCAGTAACGCCGCAAACAGGACACGGGAACTGCGAGCCCAGTGAGCTTTCCAGGTGAGCAGCCTGGGCCCGGCTTAGAGCGAGAGCGAGTTATGAGTTCCATGTCTCCGTACGTTTTTGTCAGAGTTCGTCCGAGTGACACAGACGTGATGGGAGCACTCCAAGGTCACCGGGTCCTTGGTCGCTCAGTGCTTCCGCCGGGCCCTGGGGCCCTGACATGCCCTGACATGCCCTGACCAAGCAGCTGGCTCTTAAAGTTTCCTGGCAGATGGGGCATCGCAGCTCGATTTCCATCTGCCTGTGAAGTCTGGTCTTAATTGGTGTGTTGTCAGGCGTGGAAATAGATATCGAGTAGAATGCATGCACTTATTGCTTCCTTTGTGTGACTGTGATTCTCTCGCATGGGAACACGGGGGACCGCTTGCTCGAGCAGGAAGAACGCATGCAGAGACTGCAGACCCCTGATCAGTAAATACACTCTTTCTTCAATGCAAATTGAACAACCAACTTCCACCGAAGCCGTAAGCTGCTTGTTTACGGTGTCTGTATGTTACAGCAGGTCATTTACATGGCTTGTTGCTCATCCATGGTCCACATTAACACAAACAGAATGGTAGCTCGCACGCGCGTCAGCATTTTGTCCATGTCCCCCTTTCGGCTTCTGGTCTTGGAGTCTTGGCAGGGAAGGACGAAGCCCTTCTGCTTAATTTCTTTGCAGACACTTGGTCAATTGTCCGGTCACGCAGGCAGAGCCAAGCCCGGGCTGTATTCGCATCTGCGATGAAGCCCGTGAGTATGGACACAGCCCTTCATCAGGCCGCCACCGTCCGGCGCTCTTGTCTTTGTCGAGCTCGGCGAAGCCCGACCGCCGTGAGATGCGCTTTGTGGTGCCACAAGGCACTGTCACTCCATCCCGGCAGCGCGCTTCAAGCCTCGCCTTCCTGCCACCGAAGAGCAGATCCGAAAGGGAGTTTTTGTTTCTCAAGGAGGGTGCACTTCACCACTCCGCCTGCGCTTTGGGAACGAGCTTTCGCCTTGGCTTTGGGCTTGCCCTGCCAAGTGCAAGAAGCCGCACGCGAAAAGAGGTGTGAAATCTGGCCTCCTCTCTTCCCGCCTCAGAAGAGTTGCAGCCCTCGTGACCCCTCTGCAATGCTCTACTAGTGCTCCGCTGCTCTGGGGACTTTGCTCGGTCTGGAGGTCCAGAAGCACTGCGTTTCAGGCCTTGCTTTCCTCGTCAAGCGGCACGGCGGCACATCAGCACAACTAGGGCATCCGCACGCGCAAAGTCCCGCGCCTTTGGAGACCTTTGCATTCTTGGCCTTGGCTTTCTCCATCTTCGCCTGCTGAACGCAAGCCATATGAGCCCTGCATCAGTTGAACTGCGGTGGAGCTGCCTTCTCCTTCTCCTCTGCATCACAGGCAGCCTGCCACTCACTTCATTAAAACCCAACGGTTCCCAAAGATACCGCTTTAAGAGCTACCGCTTCAACTTGTGACCCACACGACAGAACGAACAGAACGTGGATGCAAGTAGCAGGAGCAAGTAGTTGGTGTCGTCGGAAAAGGACTTCCGACTGAAAGTTCCGCGTGCGCAGCTGGACTTCTGTAGGGTCAAGAATTCATGATGCAGTGCGCTCTCAGATGCTGTAGGGATGATCTTGCTGAGTCATCGGCGGCATCGCGCTCATCCAGCGCGACTTCCAAAGCTTGCAGATCCTCCATGGTGACATCGTGACCATGTTGGGTGGATTGGAGTGCCACACGGCCTCCAGCCAAAGATCTGAAGGCTTCTTCTTCTGCAGCTCTTTTAGCTCCCTGGCCTTAGAGGCAAAGTTTGGCAGGCAAGGAATCCGACGCAAAAAAAGGCGACTCGGCCTTGACCTCGTGCTCCTGCATAAGCTTGGCCACCTTCTCAGCCGTTAGAGTGGAGATCGGCATGCCCACCAGGTATTCGAAGTCCCTGCAGATGCTCGAATGACTTCCGCGGGCTTGAAGATGCGATTTTAGCTGTGGTGCTTGGCCTCACGGCTTTCTTGGTGACATCTGCAGAGGGGTCCTGGTTCTCCTCCTGTCCCCGACGCAACAGCTGACGCAGGGTCGCAGGCTCACGCCGTCACGCCTGGCCTCCTCGCTGCCGTCTTCCTCTTCGGCCTCCGCCTGCTCCTCAGATCGGTTGGGCGCCGACGGGGGGCCCATGGGGCAGGTCGCGTCGGCCGGTCGGGCGCGGCTTTTTCCAGCGGCCGGGATATGTACACTTCGCCCCCGAAGGATCTCGCAGGGCAGAGCGGCGGCGCTTTGAAAACGCCCCTGCTCTCTCTGTACAAAGTGGCCAAATCGGTGGCCTGTTTGGCCCGCACTCGCATGCACTCGCACTCGAATTAACCTGGCCGAGGGCCCATCAGGGCCATGGCCGCCATGGCCCATGGCTCATCACGAACGACAATTTCTCACACTCCGCGCTTCTGAACTGCCTGCAAGCAGTTTTTTCAGATGGGGATCTGATATGACTCGACATGACATGTCGCCTTCAGAAAAAACCTGCCGTCGGCAATCGTTGCAGTCAGGTCTGTGCCGAATCCCAAGGCCTTCCATTCGGCAAGGTTCGGCGAGCGCGAGAACCGCCACTCGTGATGAAAACTCTCCAGGACCCCGGCGAGGATTTGCAGAAACTCTGATAACCAAGCGCTCGGGCGCAGCAGCGCCTGTGACAAAGACGCCCAGGACAGTCCTTGCGACGGCCTGCGGGCGAGCCTCGCCGAGGGTCTTGGAAATGCGGTGGAGCCAATGTGATGTAGGTGTGATGATCGCCTGCGGCAGGAAGGCAACGAAGGCAACGAAGGCAACGGCTGTTTCCTGGTCGTGTTCTGTCCACAAACGAGCACTGCGCGGGCCCAGGGCCTCGGTCTTGCTAAAGTCCGTGACCGGGAGCTCCTGCAGAGAGAGCCTGCAAGGGGGAACGGACGCGATGCTCTTAACACACTCCGCGAAGACCCTTTGCCTTCGACCCAATGGAATTGGTGCCTGGGAGCCATGACGAGGGATTCTAAAGCAAAGACACAACTTACAGTTTTGACATTTGCAGAACTCCAGTATTCTGTCCGACAGGACGAAAGCTTCCGGATTGCAAGAGGTTGAAGCGAAAGTGAGGACGGCACAAAGAAAACGGGAGAACTGTGCATCCACACTACTGCCGGGAGCAAGTCTGTCGCTCAACAACCTAAAGCCGTCGGTGAGAAACCGTGCGACCACCTCCACCCCTGCAGACGATAAAATCACACAAAGAAGTATAACAGACGCATTGAAAACAAGGAAAGACACACAAGATGGAGCCTTTTTTCTTGGAGCCAAATGATGTCCAATCAACTGCGTCAGAGCTCCTAACAACTGCATTGTCCTGATTCGCATAACTGGCCATCTGTGTCGAATTCTGTTAACTCCCCCTTTAGGACTCTGAGCAGTGAGACTTGATGTTACACTAATGCGGGAAGGTTGTATCCTAACTGAAGCAATGTTGCACGATCAGGCGGACTCAAACGCTCATGATGTCGGATCAGGTATGCAACTACGACAAGCCCGTCTTGCGGCATACCTTGTGATATGACGGTGCAGCATGATGCGTCATCGATCGGACATTGGGTCTCTCCGCTTTCATCTTCAACCCATAGGATGGGCCCTTGCGCTGGACTGAGCGGGCGAGACGGTTCTTCGATCCCTCTTCGTTGAGTCTCGATGAAGAGCTGTTACAACACCTCGTTGCAAAAAAGCTTTAAGATGAAGTGTGGTCCATCAGTTCTTAATGCAGCTTGGTTCTTGGGGGTCGCCTGGAGGCTTGAAGGAACCCAAGGCTCTCGAAGGAATGTTCGTGTAGTGCCTGAGCTTGTGGGGGTTGGAGAGTGCTGTTCGTAGTCCTTTGTGTTCTCTTAGGTTCGGTGAGTCTTGCTAGCGCTCTAGAGCCATCCTTTGATGTACAGTTTGATTGGTCCCATAGATCCGAGAATCTGCTTGCGCGCGACAGGCCGGAGAGGACGGCTGTCGAGAGTGTATGCCATGGGCCGCATAGGATTTGGATCCAGGTTGACGGTATCGGCTTGCTTGTTTTGCGGATCGACAGATCACTTGCCCTACTTCCGGGTTACTGAGAAGATTGAGAAAACAGCCATGAGCAATTCGAAGGAGGAATGAAAGATGTCTCGACCTGCCACATGACAACTCTGTGGGGAGAGATTCAATGTCGAAATTGAAGAGTGCTCAACCTGAAAAGGGGCTTTTAAGGATTGACCTTGGATTTCTCGCTGTGGAGCGGGTGTAGACTTAGGGCACGTTTGGGCATCATCTCCAACGAAGGTTGGGCGGTTAGGGGGAAATGTTGGTAAGTCAGTTCCTTAGGTGCTTGCCGAACCGCATGGCCTCCTCGCTGTCGCTTGGGCTGTCGCGGACCCTCGTCTTTCAAATATCTTTGAAAGACCGTCTCCTGTGCAGTGGAGACGTTCGGAAGTGGATTTGAACGACACCTGTTTGGGCGATAGGTGCGGAAACAGATGGGGATCATCCCGTGAAATATCTACATAATGTGTTCCTTTCCTTACACCTGTCACCTGACCTGTGTAAGGCCAGGTGAGGAGGAGTGCGTAGAGCTTATCGCCTGCCAGGGTGACCCCGACATAGGTAGACACGCACAGTACGAGAAGTGTACCGACGAGGCTGTTGCTGCTGGAAATTTCTGGAAGGCACGTGCGAGTTCTTGTTTTAAGTCCTGAAGTTAGGCTACCTTACGTCCTAGGGTTGGGCGACTCGTATCGCATTTCACGTGCTTGTGCATAAAAATCCTCCGCGTCTGGAATTACAACCTCCAATTTTCCAATGGCTCTGCAACTTCTCGTGGAGCTCGCGATGGGATCGAAGGAGCGCGAGAAGATAACGCAGGACGCAAAACTTAGCTGGCGGCGGGACGTTTATGGTTCTACCATTAGGCAGGGTTAAGCTCGGGCCCCTATTTGCAGAATGCGGAGGTGTCCGGGACCGATGGCGAATTGGGAAGCGTGGCTGGATCTCGGCCAACAACGATTCCACTAAATCCCGACGGCTGCGATCCAAACAGATAGCCCCGTCAGCTTCGTTTTCTCTTATACGCAGCTGTGTGTGGACTGCCTCAGGTCCACCGCCCTGTGCCAACAGGATTGTCAGGAAGCTTCTGACGATGGTCAGGATGAGGCTTGGACGTCGTCAACCGTCGGACGAACGTCCTTCATCAGCATCTGGAACACGCGTAAATGTGTGGGCGAATCTGGGAAGGTTCCGAAAGCCCTTATCAGTTTCAATCCGGGCGGAGGACTTTGCCCAGGTCTGTGTTGATGTCGCGATATGGGTTTCGGGTCTCACCGTTTGGAAAATGTCCGACATCCCGGAGCTGGGATTGTTGCGCGCAACGGTGCTGTTGTTGCGTTTGCAGTTGCGGGATGTCCAGGACTCACCCGCGAAGGAACTCTGCCGAACATCCTGAATCGAAGCAGCCTTCGGAAACCTTAGTGATCCTTAGTGGCCTTGATCTCGCAAGACGTTTCTGCTGTTCTTTGCAGTACAGCTTCCGTAGCCTAGCCTGCTGAACAACCACTATAAGAATCCTACACAGAAAGCTTTCCCACTTGATGCGAAGACGCAGCCTTCTCTCGTTTCTTTCTGGCTACCAATCTAAACCACAGGCAGGGGCAGCAGGATGAGCAATACTCCTGCTTCAGATCAAAGTACACCCAACGAGCAGGGTCTGATAAGTGGAGGGGTGTTCGTCAGATTCGGTGCTTTGCATACACCGGTGAAGAGTTCGAAAAATGGACTGTTACGCGGAACAATCCGACGGTGACAGGCAGTGCCTGGCTCTAGCACTTTGCTAGGTCGGGGGAGGTTATGAATGAGGCAGGGCCTGGGGCACCTATGTCGCAAAAACAAGCGCAACCTCAAGGCAGGTGTGCAGAAATGGAAGTATGGAGGGGCGCTATGGCGTCGAGAGGCTTTGCCTATCCCACCACAGTGACAACATCTGCCTCTAGGCTGTTAACCAGTTAGGTACAACAGATGGATGTCAAACAAGGAAAAACACACAAGAAGGAGTCCTTTTTCCTTGAAGCAAATAATGTCCAATCAATTGCGTCAGAGCTCCTAACAACTACAGTACATTGTCATATCATCTACATAACTGGCCATGTGGGTCGAGTTCTGTTAACTACAAGGACGAAACTTCTTCACTGCGTGCGGCTTCACCAAAGCATCCGCCGAAACCCGCGCTGTGCTTCGGGCATTCTTCGGTGGCGGCATCACCCAGGCAGGCGTCGCGATGCACGAACCATCAAGCTGCCTGCCGAGATCATCGTTCTATGCTCTTTGATCCCTGCATTGAAGCCGAATTGCGCCTTGGGCCGCCCTTGAGGCAAGCCCGGCTGCAGTAGCAATTCCTTGCTGCGCTGACCCCGAGTCCCTCCCCTCTCACGAAGCAGCGCGTCAAAATCCTTAGCAGAGCGTCTCCAGCAGCACCTCCACCTCTTCTTCGATAGTCTGCAAGCAGTGGCAGCACCTACACCAACACACTAAGATCACACAGACACACGGAGACCTTGTCATGGAAACCTTGAGAAAACTACAAACGAGACAGGTAAGGAACAACGAAGCTACGCAAGCTATCGCAAGCTTACCGACACTGCGCGACGCAGCCTGAGCAAAGCCAAGCACCGAGGCGCTGCTTCCCTCAAGAGTCCGCAGACCCTGACGTCCTAGCCTGCAGATGAAGGCGCAGCGCTGGCCCGGATGCCGCCGCTTCGAAGGGGTGATGTGTTTCAGAGTGAGCGCGGCGAGTCTCATGGAGTGCTCTGCGACAAGCCGTGAATCTGGACTCGGGCCGGCCATCGGTTGCGATTTCGAGCACACGCGACGCTTTCAGCCTGCGAGCCGCCCTGCTGCCTCGCTGGCGGGTTGCGTCTTCAGCGTTCCAATTCTCCCTCTCCCTGCTGCTGCTAAATGGCACGATAGCAACAGCTCGCTTTGAATGCGCACATGCTAGAGGCTCACCTCTCCACGGCATGACCAAACGAAGTCCAATCACACTGAGGCCTAGAACGGCTTCGAGAACAAGAACGTATAAGTATAATTCACGAGGAGAAGAACCTGTGTTCAACAGCGCCTGAAGACAACTTTGCCCGAGACCACGCTGCGAGGCATCACCTGGGGCACAGGTTGTGGGCCCTCTACGACGTGCCTCGCTTTATGCCCTAAACGTCAGCACGGTGTGGACCCAGGACTCCTTGATAGCCCGGCCAAACTCGCCAGAATCCAAACGACTTCTCGGGCAGCTGCCGTTCACAGAGAAACCCGGGCTGGGAGGCTATGTACAGGAATTTACAGAGTCTTCAGCACGCCACTTCAAAATAGGCCTGCATCTTGAGAGTAACAGCTGCGCAAATCGTTACGATTTCTGCAGTTTACGCGGATGTTCCTTGACAGAGTGGCACACGAAAGAGGCATTGAACACACGTCCTCCTTCTCCTCAGACTGCTCGCCTCAAGAGCTTTCACCGGCACTTCGAGACTTCAGCACGAAGCTTTGATTTTGAGCCTTGGAGGTCGCGAAGCGCTTTGAAGCCATGCTTCCGCAGGTCCTTGCCAAGACGGTTCCAAACCTCTCAGTGTCAGAGTGTCAGTGACTTTGCAACTTTGCACGGCTTGTGTCCTGGGCCAAGTCAGCGATTTTCCTGGCACGGTGCAAGGCTGCACCCGGAGCCGATTCGGCTTTGGAGCTGAGGCATCGACCGCTTTCGGATCACAATTCTCCCCTCGATTACCAACTTCACAAAGCGTGCCTTGGCGCTCAACACCTGGAGAGCTTGCCACAGACATGGCTGAACCACGACACTTCATGGCGTGAAGCACACCTTCAATTATTTCAGGGCCAACCCAAGGCAGTCTGCCAGTTGCCACTGACCGCAGGTGTGCCTCACATTCGCGGGTGAGCCGCGCCAACAGGTACGCCTTGCGCCTCGGCTGTTCAAAGCGAGCAGCCTCGTATGCGACTGCAGCACTGAGACCAGCACGTCTCGTACATCTTTAACCGGACTTGCGCGAAGTCTTGCAGGATGTCTTTTGGAGTGTCCTTCAGGCATTTTGGGGGTGGGCACGCCGCAGCTGAGGAACCAAGGCCCGCACGTACTTCTTGATCTTGCCGTCAGCATCGAAGAGCATCTGGTCGGGGTGAGGGCTGACAGGATCGAGAAGTTTGGGCGGCACCCCAACGACATCAAGGCACCATGTTGTTCATGCTGATGGACGAGCGAAGCTTGAAGACCTGGTGACACATCGCCACTGCGCAGAGGAGCAGAGTCGGGTGTTTTTTGTTCGCCCAGTTGGGCTGTTTGGGTTTCTGCTGCCTTCTCCAGGTTGTCCTGGCGGTTGTTGGGCAGCGTTGTTTTTTTTGCGTAATCAAGCGAACAGGCGGCCCGAAAACAGACTTGTCCTTGTCCGCATGGAGCTGACCCTCTGAGCTCAAAGACAACCTGAGAGAGAAACAGGCTCAAAAAAGCCCAAAAGCGCTGACAGGCATCAGTGGGCATCTGGCACAAAATGCACGGACTTCTCACTGTGGTACCTTCCAGGTTGTGTGCGTTTCCACGTCGAGAAAAAAGTCGCAAACGAACAATCTTCAGGTCCGTACTCTTGGTAGTCTTCTAGGAGCTTTGGCCCCTCCCGTTTCTTCCTTGCACGGAGCTAAGCTGAAAACGTCTCAAGAGAACTTCAGGGGCCGAGCTCTTCGGCTGGCTTAGGCTAGCTGTAGCATGCGCCGAGAGCGGAGCTCCCCTTTTGGAAGGTTCTCCTCCAGGATTTCTCGATAGTCCTGGCCGTGCCCACCACGAAGGCCCCGCGGTTTTCTGCCGCAGCGAAAAGAACCGCGGCCTGCGTCCATCGCTTCACCGGCAGCTCCGTGATCTCGGCTCTGCCTCCGCGGCGTTCGCACGCAGGGCGCTGGGCACTGGGCTTTGCTTGGGCTTTGCCTGGGAGTCGCCGCTCGACGAAGGTCGGTCGCGAGAGTACGCTCGCTCTTCTTCGGTTCGGTGTTATTTTGTCCGCGTCTGTCTTTGTTCGCGCTTGCCAGTTTTTTGCTTTCGAGCTCCTAGGGGTCTCCGTGATGCTCCACCCGCCTTCCCCGAGATTCCGGATGTTGCCCGTGACCTGGCAAAGCAACCGCTCTCTCTGCAGACCACTTCCACATATGTCGCCTCAGAGAAGGGGCTGGGCTGGGCTGGCGCGCCTCCCACTTGCCTTCTTCTCGCGATTTCGAGATGCTGCCGGTGAAACCTGTTGTGACAGGGTCCGAAGCACACAAACTCGTCTCCTTGAACCTTCGACTCTTCAGACTCTTCAGACTTCAGCCCCACCTGCAAACCAGGGCGTCATCTCCTTCATCTCCTGCTTTTTGAGCCACCTCCTGCAAGTTGACCGCATGAAGACAAGATAAGATGCCACACAACTGCGCCTGAGATTCTCGATGATGTCCTCACGGGCTGTTGCGAGTCTCACGCGCTTCTGTGGCGGCTCCACACTTGCCAAGGTGCACGTGGGTTGAAATTCGGCACCGACGAACTCCAGCCCGTGCCTGAGTGGCAGGGAGCTTCCAGCCGGCTCAAGAGTCCGGCTGTCCGGCTGCCAAGGTGCCGATCCCTTCGACACCGTTCACCAAGACCATCGGGATGACTGGACAGTACCAGCCTTAGCAACTTCTTACCCCTTTCGAGATGCAGGACAGGATGCAGGACAGCCGAGCACGAAGCGAGGTTCGATGGACATGCCATCTTCGCTCAAATACTCCAACACCGGATCGTCCTTGCAGAATCCAAATCCGCAGCCGGTCAACACAATGCTTGCCTTGCAGCAGAACGTTCGCATCTCGCATCGCAGCCGAGTGCCGCGCAGAGGCCGGGAATAAGAAACGTGTGATCGGTGCCAGGCCTCGCTAACGACGCTTTGTCGCACGGGAACACTGTAAAGGCAAAGAATCAAGCGTAGAATTTTGAGTGGTTTAGCCGAAAAAAGAAAAAGTACATGCTTCAGTTGGTGGCCAAGACATTCGCATGTCCATCGCACCGTGTGATACACGCAGTGTGCAACAAACGCAAGTCCGCCCCAACCCAGCACGTTGTCACAGCACTGGCTTTCCCTGCAGCCTATACATGGGAATCCAGGAACTCCTCCCACACGGCCCGACACGACTGCGACATGAATTTGGATCCTTTTGCGTTTCCCCGAAAGCGTAGCGAAGGGTTTTTCAACGGTGGCGCTTGGAATGTGACGGTACTTATGTGACGCTGATGTAGATGTGTGGCTATATACCTCACTTGGGTCAGCACGCGTGTAGATGTATCGTGCGGAAGCCGAGTCCTTTGCTCTTGAGTCTTGGGCATTGACTGCATCACGACTCCACGGAGCAAAAAGCCCTGCGATGCACCTTGCCGCCCTGCAATCGTGTGCCAAACTGGCCTTGTGGAACGAGCCTCAGACTCAATCGGGCGTGCAATTCAGGCGCGTCGGAGGCCGTACGTTCATCTAATGCGACTGAGGGGCAGGTTGATGTTGTTGGATCCAACAAAATCCTGCGCCATGCCGACGATGGTCTCCGACTGAGAAGCAGGGGATGTAGGGGGGGCCAGGGGCCATTCCGCTTCCGCTCCGCTCTAGCGCTCTAGGCCGGGTCCCGGGTGCCGCACCAAGGACATCTCTCCGTGATGATACGCCGCTTGCTCCGACACGTAGCCCACGAGCTGGGCCACCTCTTTTCAAGGTGCTGGGCCCGGGCCCCCATCTCTCTGCAAAAACAGGAGAGCGCAGCCTTCACGTCGCTACGCAGCTTGCGCTTGAAGCAGCCGAAAAGGACCTGCCACAGGTGACGCCGCGCAGTAATCGGCTTTCCTGGTGTCTTTAGATTGGCGGACTCTCTTTCTCCAAATGTCAAGTCTAGGTCTCTCAGCGCAGTGTTCCGCGGTACAGAAACAGTCCATTGAAAGCCATTTTCTAAAGGAATGGCTAAGCCACACGGAACACACACGGAACACAGGGACAGGAATGGGACATAGTTGAGAGAAGGGCTCAAGCTTTGGTCTTGACATCTCTCAGACATGTCCCACTGCCCAGCATGCAGCAACGCTTTCCTCCACAGCGTGCATGACCTGTACATCCTACGTCAGGCTGCGGCTACGTGCAAGCTGAGGACTGCAGGGCATTGAAGGGGAAGCCCGCACTCCAAGATTACAGCAACGCTCTCTCACTTCTGGAGGACAAGGCTGCGCCAGGTGGTTTCACCTTTGAGTAGAGTCCGAGAAAGACCTCTAGAGAGGCCAGTCCGTCACATGCAGCCCAGATGCGCTTCTTCGCCAGCGTGACCGTTACCCGCCGCTTTGCGGCCTACCAGCCACGACCACAAGGCGAGCATGGCAGTGATTTTAACCAGGCCGGGACACCACAGTTTTCAAGGCAATCTCAAGTCTGCATTGAACCCTTTCCTCAAAACCCAACGGCGCCTAGCCTCCGCTAGCTTGAATGCATTTCTGTGAAGCCTAGCAGCACTCGCGACTGCAAAGCCCTGCGCGGCAACGCGCTTTGCAACTGCCTCTCCACTGTGATTTTGTGATACCACCGGTCTGATTTCATGTTGGGGCAATGCAACCTTCGTAAGACAGGCTTTAGGATTTGGAGGTGGGGTCATATGTCACTATTATGTCAACCAAGCGTTGACACCTACTGCTTGGCCCGCTGGCATCTACCTGTCATTGCCCCCTACACAGCTGGCTAGTTGTGGTTGATTGCGTTGTACAAAAGTGCCTGCTTTAACGAGTTACGTCTTTTCAGGTTGCCTCCACGCGAACCTTGCACTCCTCTGGTTTGATCTCGGCGTGCAACTTCTCCACCTTCAGCCTCCTTGCCAGAATGCAGCAAAGGCATTGCATGGATGTGAGTTCCATACTGTGATGAAACGATGAATCACTCTCAACCACTTCGCCCTGCTTTGCTTTGGCACTGCTCTTGTCTTCCTTCGTTGCTGGCTGGCGATATCCAACACGAAGGACCGGGTGTCAAAAGTGGCAGAAGCCTCACAGCCACAGAAATCGGGCTGCAACATGTGTTTCACCAGCTGAGGCCACGACGATGTCTTCCTGCGCATCCTGGCGGGGACAGTGTTTTCGCATCATCCGAAACCAAAAGGGCAGGCCTTTTGAAACCTTTGGATTAGATGTTTCGTATGTTTGTTCTCACGAGAAACCGCAACCCCAAATTGTTAATATGAAGACGATTGCTTATACCGTTCTACATGCCGACTTCATTGCATGTGTATCTCTCGAAACTTCCACAGATCTAAGTATCTATTGTTACGTATATGCAGGTAAGTCACATGGTGCAAATTTGGTCCTTGCGTCCTGTTATTTACACAACACATACCCAGATGGGCATGTACATGCACGGGTACCCATATACATCCAAATCCACATGCACATGCGCGTGCACAGTTACATTCACATGTACAAATGCATTTTACAGCTGCATATACACCGACATATACATCTACGCAAGTAAACATACATGTACATATGCATATACATCTGGTTGTATAGACACGTGGATATAATGGATGGATAGATGGATAGATGCATGGATATATCCTTATAGGTCATGCCAATTCCCCATCATGCCATGTCACATCTCGTCTCATCACATCGCATCATATCGCATCGTATCCTATCATTACATGTCGGGTACACATATACATGCAAGCAGAAACAAGTATGGCGCATTCATCGGCTTGAAGCGCGGCATCGCGTGCATGTTGGCTGCAAACCGCTGCATGGTCCTCGGGAAGGAAGTCGCAGTCGACGTAGACCTTCACCTTTCCACCGGCTTCTGCCCAGGCATAATCCTCCCGCAAGTCACTCAGAAGGCACAGGCAAGAGGGAAGCGCTGGGGCCGCCATGACCCTCCAGGACCAGGATGACTCTCCTTGATCCAGAGGATCTTCTCCTCCTCCTTGATCAACTCTGCACCTCCGTCCTGAGGCGCTGGGAGAGGCGGGTGGAGAGTGGTTGTGGTTGTGGCAGTGGTCGAAATGTGGTCCTGGAGCAGCTCCGGGGGACCACCGGTGACGAGTCCTGAAAGCGGAAGCGGGCTCCCCCGGCCCCCGCACGGATCTTTTATGTGTCTTTTTTATGTCATCTGCGGATGCGTCGGTGCGGCCACGGCTCCTGGGCCGGCGATGATCTTGGCATCCTCTCCAGGGCCAGGGGCAGGGGCAGAGCTCTTTCACTCGCAACGGACGGAACCCCGCCTCCGGGATTTCGAACTTTCTACTGTGAGCGAAATAATAGGCATTCTCACCTCCAAACTGTGGACTTCTGAGACGAATCGCAGGCCCCAACACCAAGCGCCTTTCTCTGAAATGTTTTGATGGAGTGCCTCAAGGAAACCAACTTCTGTTGTGAGATATCTGCTACGAGCCGGTAGGGGCGGCACGGACTCGCCCTGCTGCAAGTGGCTGCGCCGAACACAATTGTCGATCTGCGCCACTGGCACTGTGGCGGTCGCCTTGGCGTCAGGGACTCCACGCAGCAACGCCTTTATCTTCTACTTTCAAACTGGGCAGGAGGCCATCGAGAGGAAGCTGCAGTGAAACGGCAAGAGGACTTTGAGCCCACGAGCCCACGCTGTCAGCAAACAGGATCAACTTGACATCGGAACTGGCAGAATCCCAGTAATTGATTATGCTGAATGCTTAGATTCCATTCAAAGAGTCCACGCCTTTCTCTGGCTCGGCTTGAAACCATCCACCATGGAGGGAATAGCACGTATCACCTCCCAAGCCCAGGCCCAAGCCCAAGAGCGCTAAGCGCTGAGCTGCACTCTCTAGTGCTCTGCAGATCCTTGGGCTGAGCTTTGAGCGTTGGCTTTGGCAAACAGCACCAGCTCCTGCGTGGCAGCCGATCAGCCGCGCAGGAGAGGATCGTGGCGGTGCCATGGAGCTCCCCCGCACCTTATCCACGAAGTCCTTGTAGCTCACCTCACTTTGCGACGAAGCACACACGGGAACGTGATCGCAAAAATGTCGCAATCCCGCCTCCTGCTGCGTGTGGTCTACCAAGCGTCCTTCCTGTCGGGAGAAAGCCTCCCCCCACCTCCCCAGCCTGCAGACAGCCTTCCGCCCAGCCCAAGGCATATAGGCACCGCCTCGTAAGCATTGATCCACGCCTTTCTGTCATCTGCTCGCCTCCTTGTCACCCGATGGACCGCAACGAATTCGACGCGCAGATCCACCGCTGACCGGGCTGTAGCCAAGACGCTTATTGAAGGCGAGATCGATGGCTCGGTCGTCTTCAACACCATCCTAGATCGCAGCCACCAACATCATGACCGTTATATGACCCCGCATCAGCGCCGCCCTCCTTAAACTTGGGCCCATGCGTACCGGTATTGCATCTTGTGCGACTCCAGGGCGCTAAAATACTCCTGCCATGTCGTAGCACCAATGCCAGCAATGCAAAGGAAACGGCAGCAACGCAGCTCGAGATTGTCAGAGTCAAGACTGCCTTCGCCTCCTTCGATGTGCTCGTGCCAAGACCTACATTGAGAATCTGTTGAGAACTTACAGGGTTTGGGAATGCCGCCTTTGTAGTATTTGATCTTGAAGCCCTTTCCGTTCTCGGTCTCCTTCTTCCAAGCCTGCAAGCACGAGCCTGGCCCTGTGGCGCCGAAAAGAAGCACGACGTGTAGTGCCTCGTACTCCGGAAGCGTGTAGAAGCAGGTCTCGCTGCCTCGGCGGGGGGGGGGGGCGGGGGGTGCCATGGGTGCCCCTCCGGAGCCGAGCGCTCTCGATTCCGAGTTCCGGGCGGCCTTTCCTTGCTTTCACGATCGGCGTGAAGAACTCCTGGAGGAAGACGGAGGTGCGAGCGCGCGCAGCGCGCGCGCGCGATCGATCGCGGCGGAGCAGCGGAGCCTTGAGGAAACCCGGCAGCCGGGCAAGGGAGGGCCACCAGGCATGGATCAGGTTGATCCTAGGATCCGTTAAACCAGCCCGACAACCCTCCGACCGCGGGTGGCGCTCTGCACGTCTTGCAGTCAAGAGGCAAGAGCCCTTTGATGTGAGAGCCGTCGCTGTCCTGTCAGAGAGCAAAATCTTGAGAGTGCAACGCCCTGGTGGCGTGTATTTCTCGGGAATTTAGGAGTTTTCACTCGAGTTTTTACACTAAGATTTTCAGAAAACAACATAATACGGGCCTGCGTTTTGTGGGTTTCAGAAACATAGGCATG